GCCATCACTGTGTGAATGTGTGTGAAAGGGTGAATGTGGCACGTAGTGTAAAAGTGCTTTGAGTGGTCGGAAGACTAGAAAAGGCGTTTACCATTTACCAAATTATTCAGTGTACCAAACCTTCTGTTTTCCACGATACCTTAATTTTACATTCCTGTATGCTTAGTATGACAACCTTGAATAATATAAAAACATCATATTGAACGTTTAAACTATGTTTTGTATGTTGGCAACTGGTGCAACATACAAAAATCAAATTATTATGTGTATTAATATGAAATATAATATATAAAATATCAGAATCTTATCGTATATAGCTCTGTCAATGGGTTTTTAAAGACATCTTGCAAAAGATGGGCCATAAGCTAATGCAGTTTGGGGGGCCTTGGCATAGAAAAAATTGTTTATTATCTCCGCCAGCCATAAGGTCAGCCTTTGTTTTTTTGCGTATGTCTGTCTAATCGCGTATATTACTGGGCACATCAACCTAATATTTTTTGTGCACATTTATGACTGTATTATCAAGAATCTCTTGTGGTTGCAGTGATTCACGATGTTTGAACAACTTATTTTATTATATTATTACATTCCGCCATTGACTGCTGACTAACTCCTCTCAATTGGCCGGCATGGGTTGCAGATTTGCATGCCAAGGTAATGCTCGCTAGACGCACTGCCTGCCCTGCACTCCCCATTCAGCACCTACATGCACACAGATGCACCTGTTGGAGGTCTGCACTCTACAGAGTGCACTCTTCTACTTGAATAAGTTCTTCATATGTTGGGATTAATATTCATGTATTTCCAGTATTCTCCTTTGAATTCTATGTTTTTATGTAAAGTCTGTTTTTGCTGCAGCAGTGACCCAGTTTCCTCTTGGGGATCATTAAAATTTAATCTTAAATCATTTTGTATTTCAATTAGATGTCTGCATTGCATTCTCATACTGTGTATTTTTTGCAGTGAGCTATGAGGCTTACTGCTGTATGTTGGATGCAAAAATCACCAACTGACAGTCACCACAGTATGTGAGTTCTGCTTGGCCCTGACTCTTTTTTTCTTTACTCCTCTCTCTACATTCCTGTGTCTCTGCCATGCTCGTTCTGCCCGCCGGCGCCAGTTGGAGTCTTTCTATTCGATCTTCACCACAGAGCAGCAGGACCATGTTAAGTCGGTGGAGTATCTGCGCAGCAACTTCAGGCCCATCCAGAGCTTGGACAACCGCCATGTCTACAAGTCAGCAGTGAAAGACGCCTGGCTGCCTGACCTGACTGACAGTGGAAGCGGGCCATATGGCACAGAGGCTTCCAAAGGTAGGAGCACTGGGACTTGTTTCAGTTATACACTCACTTCTTCCTCATCACCATAGCCTAATTAATAAAGAAACCAGTGTATATACAGAACCCCTTTGACCCAATCAAACCAGGGCACCAAAACTCACCTAAAATATCTGCAATTGCACTTGTGTAATTGTTTAGGTAATTTTAGGTAATTTTTAGGTTTAACTCTTCAAACTTCACACCGATGCCACAAGCCACCACAAAATAAGGAAACACTCGTCAAAGTAAGAGCCTTGAAAATCTGAAATGTTGCTGCTTCTTTAATTAGCTCTGATCAATGAATCATTCAATTATGATGATGATAATGTTTAAGTGCTGAATTTAAGGAAATATAAGCTAAATTATATGCACTCAATCAGAAATGTAGATGTATTTGATATTTTAGTTATAAAAGAAGGAATGGTAAATGGACCTGTAC